GTTCATGGGTACCTACAAAAAAGTATTAAACAATATTTCCGTAGAGCGTCAAACAAATTTATTAAAAATCAAAAACAAATTTTCAAGAAGAATCGACAGGGGTTACCTAAATTCTTCGGCGAAAAAAAAATTTCAAAGCATTCTGGAAAAATTATTTTGAGTTGCGGAGGTCAATTACAATCATTTTTAGTGGATAAATATACCCTCGAAATCCTATGCACTTTCGAGAAAAAAATTCGTGTAAATGGATAAATTCTATTAATAATTTTTAACAATAATTTTGTTAATAATTTTTTGTTTTTTATTTTCGTCTTATTTTGACCTCTGGAATCTCTCATGTATATAAACCTTAAACTTTAAAATGGCGCAAGAAAAATATACTTCTACAGTCGATGATTAACACACCAAAAGAAAGAAACATTCAAAATTATTTACAAATGTTTCCTCCCTTTCCCTTAAATTCTAAAGCACCCTAGCCCCCCCCCCAAAAAAAAATTTGCAAAATGCTGAACCAAAGAATGAATAAACACTCAAGGATGAATCGTAACGTAACACGAAGAAAATAATGTGACTCACAGTGTCGAATGAGTTCACGACACGATACTTTTGGCTACGTTACTTTTTCTTGAGGAGTCCAACGAAAGATTCTAGGATTCGGGGGTTCCCCGTTGCGTTGCTTCCGCGCGATTTTTATTTCGATCTCCGATGAGACACGTCCCCCATCCACAGAAAGTAAAGAACAACGGCGAACGCGGCGTAGAAGAGCAAAAAATACATGGACACGAAGACCGTGGTTAATAGTTGGCATATTCTTCTCACGTCCATGGTTGCAGGATGCTCGCCCCTTTTCCCCCTCGTAGGATGGATATCTCACACCGTGAAATCTGTGATTTGCATTCGACTTGGCTCCGTAGTCACGCTCGTATCGCGCAAAATCGCAGGATAACGTTGGACACACGAAAACAATGGTGGAAAATTGTACCGATTCTATTACGCGCTATCAGACGCTACTTCCGTGTTTCGTTCATCAGACTTCTGGTATTTATGCGTTTATGGGGGATTTTCAGTCTCGAGATACCACACAATGCACTTAATAAGCAACGATATACGAATTATTATATTTAGGGGTTGAGACAACCCCTAACTCTCTACTAAAGTTCCCACTTCGTTAATCCTATTAATAAAAATATGAATTTGCACAAAGTTGTCTTTGCAGTAGAGCAGTCTATTGATTAGGGCACACTAAATACGATTATCGTTGTCGAAATAAAGAAATTAAGAAACACAAGTGTCACAGTTTAAATACTGTCCTATAATGATTTCTAAAATTTAAATGTCTATATAAAGATTCTACGGTTAGAATTTTATTATATGAACAATCCACGGTTTAATTGTTGTTCGTAAAATAGTTTCACGGTTCATTCGACGATTCGTTTCTCCATTGTCGAACGTGGCTTGTTCCAGATCTCGCGGCACACACTTGTTGTGTACTTTTCACGCATTTACGGACACGAGACTTTTCATAACACTTTCCTTATCAGAGATTTCGTGTTTGAATTACGATACGGATACTATGTTCACGAGTCAGATAATATTATTCTGTCGTCTGTGGATTTCACGAGGCACACTGACTGGTTTCAGACCAGACGGTACGCCAAAGGCTTCGGTAATCGATCAGCTTATCGTCATCGAGAACCGTATGGCGTTGTTGGTTGACGTTTCAGTATTTTTAGTTGCAGCGGAATAAATTTCTGTGAAGTCTATTGGCGTTTAATCTAGAATCTACTTCTAAATTGTGGGACAGGTTGACTATTTTTCTCTGTTTGATATGAAACTTTCGTGTGATATGAACAAACTTTCATTTTGTTCAACAATATACAATAAAATACAAATTCTATAATCTATTATCATGGAATTTAGAATCAACTTCTAAATTGTGGAATAGTTTGTCTACGTTTCTCTGTTCGATATGAAATCTTCGTGTGATTTCAACAAACTTTCATTTTATTATTCTGTGACTGACGAACGTTTTCGACCTTCACGAATTCTATAAAAGAATCTAATCAAGTGAAAGTATAATGTATAAATAAGAGAAGAAATTTACAAAAATGTGAACCGAATTGTATTGTAAAGAAATAATAAGTGACTTGCATCAATAATTCATGCTACGATAAAAGAATAGAATTAAGTATTTAGTTATATTTATTCATCAGGGAAAAGAAACCAGTTTGGTTATTAGCACAGCATTGTCAACGTGCAAACAATTTTAGACGAAGACTAATAAACATCTTTATTCAAAGGAAACGCGTGGAAATGGACTCGTTTTTAGAAACAGGGAAACTCGGTTATTGGGGACTGGAGATTTTAATTACAGTTATTTCTAGTTTGTTAAAAACACTACGTTGTGTATTTTATAAATTTCCAAATCAATATTTAGGATCTATATTTCGTTTGTTATTTTTTGTTTGCAATAGTAACGTTTTATTTTATATTCAAGCTCTCAAGAAACAATTCATCAATATTTGACTATAGGTGGCTCAGTTATCGTCGTATTAACCTTCTAGTAATTAATAATATAACAAAAATCATAATTCAAGATCACAAACTTTTTTTTTCCTTTACTTCTTTCCGTTATTTAATTCTGATTGTGTTACATCGTAGCCATAGTGATGCCAATGTTTATGCTTTACTAAAAATTAGAAACATAATGCTTTTACTGAATTGTTAATAGGTATTTTAATGAGAAAAATTTTAAATATTAAAGGTGGGATTTTTATCCAATATTGGAACATCAGTTTGTTTCTTAAAAATTAAAATACATAGGGTGTTCACGTTATTATCAGCCATTGATTTTTTCAAAAACTATTATATTTAAAAAAAAATGAAAGAGAAAAAAGTTCCTCAGGTTCTTACGACCAATAGGACAAGTATATATCAATTTTGCACATTTACAATATTTTTCGAGAAATAAAAGTGACCTTCAATTTTTTAGTAGAAGATCTGGAATAGAAGAAAGATTTTGAATATTTCGTATACATACCTGTATTTTAGTTTTTAAACTATTTATATCTTTGGAAGGTGTATTGTAGATAATATTTAAAAAATTGAAGGTCACCTTTGTTTCTCGAAAAATAATACAAGGTCCTATTGGTCACAAGAAACTGTAAAACTCTTCTCCCTCTCATCTTTTTTTAATTAGAATAGTATTAAAAACAATCGCTGGCTAGTAATAGCATGAACACCCTATATGTATAATTAACTGTTATGTTTACAAAAAAAGTAAAATTATTTTTTCACACTGTTGGGAAAAAAATTATTATTAAACGTGACTGTCCAAAAATGTCCAAAAGACGTAACTGTCACAAAACTTGCAAAAATACTTGCAACATCGTTACATAATTTTATAAACTCGTCACGACGAAAAAATGTACCTGTCCGTAGGATCATCAAGCGACTCGAGCACAGGTAAACTAATTTCTAGCGGTGCAGATAGTGCTCCCACTTTCGTTAAAATTCTTATCGTTCTATCTAACAATAAGTGTTATATGCATACACTTGGATATCTTCAGCATGATCGTAATTCAGTAGACGCTCTTGTAATATCGTAGAAACCCCAGCTATGGATTTACGAATAATCCATTCCATTTTGAATTAATGTGCCCCGGGGCACAGTGTCGAAACAAAAGGATCAAAGTTTCATTTACATTCACGCGAGCACGCGATTACCTGGCTGGCACGCGAGTGTATAAAACATAAATGCGGGGAGGCGGGCGCGAAAGCGAAATGTTACTCACTCATACGATAATTAGTCTGTCTACGACTATTAGTTATGGCTGTGCCTTTTAAAGATCTAGAATACAAATGTGCCAGCAACCGCGGATTTAATACCAATCCTATTCCACTATCGGTGACCCATGTGCACCAATTTTCACGAAACCAAAATGTTTATCAAACCCAGTTAAGAAATTAATCAGAATTTGTTTCGTGCAACCTATTTGTTTCACCAGAGAAATCAACCCTATTACAATCCACCCCTCATGCTGCCATTTACGTGCTCATGAATCGTTAAAGGTGTAAAAAAATATTTGAAATAAAAGTTGTGACAATTCTGGAGAACTATAAGTCTTATTGACTACATATTGGCTATGTTATTGAACTACATATTATCTGTCAAAAGGATCCACTATTCTGAACATTGAAAAAAAAAAATTGATTCTTATCCCGTTACGTTGTCTTGAGGTTTTAAAAAAACATGTTTCAAACGAATTAGATTGAAAAGAAGGAATTAATATTTTATACAATATGCTATACATATAGTAAATGTATATTGTACAAATTATATACTTAGTATATTTTTTTGTATATAAACATCTGCAACTATAAAAATTTCTTGCACAAAAATATACAAAGGTAAAGGTGTATTTGAAAAATGAAAGTAATAAACAAACATACTTATAAATAGTTAATGATACGAAAGAATATTTGAAAGAAAAGTTATAACAATTTTGGAGAATTATAAATGTATGCAAAAAATTTAATATAATCCATTGTTCCAATTGTGTGACTTTGAGCGGGATTTTTGAATTTAATTTTTTATCGATGATTTTCTACAAGTTTAACCCTTTTGCAAACAGTCTCTCTGTATTTATTGGACAATATACTTTTATCGCTATGAATTTATAAAAATTGATGGCCTTGATAAACATGATTCATTCAATTACAGTAACATTTATATATATTCTAATTTTTAAATACACGTTAGTGTTTTGCGTTCCCTTAAAACGTTTATAAAAACTTTGAACGTCACTAAAGCATGTAACAAGTGAAATTTGTATAATTGCTAGAGTTATGGAAGTTCCCAAGATTTGGCAATTATACAACTCACGGGGGGATTCACATTTAATTATATTTTTATTTTTGCAACGTTTCACCGAGCGTGATAAATAGCAGGGTTGAGTTATCGATGGAAATGAAGGTAGAGTAAATTAAAGCTGACGTACCTTGAGCATCAAATTGCCTCCTTCTGCGTAGCATGGTTCTTCCTTGAGAAGAAACGGGACCTGTTCTTCCATGATTATCGTCGTGCGGCTCGTCTTCCCCTGCACTTGTTGCACTATCACGTTGCACCACTTCGTCGCTTCCGATCGTCGACTGTAAGGCGCCACTTCCGTTTCCGCCGAAGAACTTCACTTTTCTCGCCAGTTCCACGTACCCGTGAAGACCGGTCTCGCACAATCTGCTCGTTAAAAACGAACGACCGAAAAATGCATACGCGATACAACAATTTCACACTAAATTCTACAAAAAGATCCGTACTGGGAGTGTTTAAAATTTTTCTTCGCTTATTATTTAATATTCAACTCGTGAATGTTTCGATTGACGCGCGTTATCGGTATTTTTTATTATCGTTCTACTTCCTTCCTCGAGACTCGAACTTCGTACAAAGAATTTAAACTTCCCCAATTGTTTCTCCGTTCATCGATTATACTGGTAATGATAAATTATTTAAAGATTGTGCCCCATTCGCGTTTATGCCACCTTAACATAATCAAAATCAAATATTTATCGCCACTGATACTGAATTATAGAAATTGCATACTTAGACTGTGGATGTTTATGCATTTTAATTCTCAAAAAACTACAGAATGCACTCAATATACAAACATATAAGAAATACTTAAAGTAAGATACGAATTATTATATTCAGAAGTTGAGACAAACCTCTACAAAGCTTTCATTCCAGTAATTCCATTAATGAAAATATGAATTTGCATAAAAATCCGCAGTCTAATTATAATTATAATTTTCTTGGCTTTGACCGAATAATTTTAAATATTATCAATTTTTTACTTGCAATGGATCAACGTGCTTACCTGAATCAATGAAATCATTTTAGCAGGATGTTAATAATTATTGTTACATTATGTGCACAAAGATCCACAGTCTACTCATATTGCAATAGCAAGAGTTGCCCACCAGTCAAATTACTTTTCAAATCATTCAAATGATTAAAAAACTGGAAACTCCTGATACTGTTTAATTAAGAGCTACTTAACATGTTCGCTACCACGCGTTACGTATTTGTGACAACGACGGATATCCCTGTAAATAAACAAAGTATAAACTGTCGACCACCGTCACATTGTGCAGAATACTATATTGAGAATGTTAAATACATTTTATTTGTACATATGATTGAAATAATCAAATAAGGCTAACAGAAATATAGCGTGGTATGTGGCGGATGATTTTCCAGCTGTACGGTGGTAGCGAACGTGTTAAGTTGGTTCTGAAGAAGAAAAGAATTCCGATTGTTTCAAAGATGGAGTAACCTTTTAAAGAACCGCTCGATTTAAATTACCCACGCACCTGACGCTCTCACTGCCGCTGCTCTCGTATCTGGCGCTGCTGTTCGATTCTCGCCTGGTCCTCGTAATGGCGTCCCTTATTCTTTGAGACGCGGAACAAGAATCGCCTGTTTTTCGCGGAAGAGCCGGCGTTGGTTCGCTCTCGCTTTCCCTGGGACTGTATCTCGATGATCTTGTGCTTAATGGACTCGCTTCGGGCGACAAATGCTGCAGAAACAGATTATTTAAAAAGATTATTCAACAAATTTATATTGCTCGTTATAACAAAAACATATATGTATAATTCTAGAAAAAAATATCTTGGATTTTTTCTGATATGTAATTGTAATAAATATAATCTATGATTTTGAAAACGATAAAATAGAAATTTCAACTCAATTTATCTCAACAATTTATAGATCACACGTATATAATTTTTAAGTACGTTTGTAATGGAAAATGTACGCATATATCGTGGTCCACGGTATAAAAAATTGTTAAAGATTTCGTTTCATAATTTTAAAATTCCTTGTTTTTTTCTAATTAAATTCTAACCTTCGATTAATTTCAACATAATACTTGGGACATTTAATTGTTTTAGAACTAAGGCTGCCATCTTAATAATCATCGTCGTTTAAGTGATTCTAAGATGTTGAATCGTGCTATTGTCAATGTCGACGATGAAACGAATATTGTAAATTATAATACAATGAATAATTCATAATCTTTGTTCAGATAAAACGTATAAACTACTTGTTGAAGCAAAAGCTTGAAGACAATTTTTTATCCACAGATATTTTAAATGCACGAAGAATAAGAATAGATTTACACAATTTCTTGTTTAATGAACCTTTTAAGTAGGCGAAACGGGCGAAGAATGATTGCAACATTATTCTTACGTCGCGTCCATTGTGTCACTAGGAGCGTTCATTAAACGTTATATCTCTTAAAGCAGAAATTATGTCATTTGAAAGAGCTTCAATAATACAGATATTTACTATAACATGAAATTTACGTATTATGTATGTATAAATCGTTTACTAGAAGAGTTGATACTTTCATGTATAGTACCAATCACAGAACAATTAAAAAAGTGGGTGGAGTATGTTCTAGATGGAGTTCAGTTGATAGACGTGACCCTGTTGATGTTGTTAGGGTACTGATTAGTCCAGTAATTTCATACTTATTAATTCCTTCGGTAGATCTGGTACTTACATTCGATACTAACGATCTTACCAACTTTAATGATCTTGAAGTATGTATGTTAAACGAGAGAGATTCATGAGGGTTCTGGAATGAAAAATAATGGCCGTCCACTCTTAATTTTCAAGGCATGATTATTAGAAACTTTGATACTTTTCTGAGACTTAACCTAGATATAATCTGGGGCACTCATAAACTTCGATTAAATAAATAATTTAAAGTAATAGTCGAATATAGGTCTGTTTTAGATTTAAATTTCAATAAATAAACAATTTTAATTACAAAAATAAAACAATTCTTAACCATGGATTGAGGATACTTAATTTTTCCCCGTGTATCTATTTCAAGGTCATTGGAGACAATGAAATCGTATTATAATTATAGACTAGCTTTGATAGTCCATTTTAGTACAACACTTATGTTCTTTTACTTTTAATAAGGATAGTTGCAATAGTGGACAAGTATGTGAGCACTTGTCTAATCTTACTTTGAGGAATAAAGATCGTTTTAATATTCTCCCTTTTTAGAATATTAATAATAAGAAACAATCATGTTTTTTTATGTAGAGAAGCAAAAGGAGGGTTTTGTTTTCTGTATCCATGTTTGTGTTTTTCTATTTGGATCACTCTTGATTCATGGCGATGTTTTAACCAAAACACATTTTCTCAGAAAATACAAGCAATTATTGGAAATTATTTAACAACCTAACATCAATAGAGACATAAGCTGTTAACAGAACTTCATTTGGAACATACTCTTTCAAGTTCTTTATTCATTGTTAAACTTAATCTCAATAAAGTGGTCACCACTAGTTCGTATGAAAGAAAAAGTCCCATTATAACTGTAATTAAATTTCTTACACACAAATTACTAATACTACATTTACTGAAAAAAGTTTTCACGCAACATGCCGTCATGTTGATCGTAAAACTTACACTGGAGCATCGTTTGTTCGGAGTGTCATCAGTGTCGTCGGGATTGGAAAACTCCTCCTTTGAAATCTTTCGCCGCACCTGAAATAAAAAACAATCATAAAGAGAAAAATATGCAAAACCTCGTTTTTCGTCGAACAAATATTTTTCTATATTTTAAACTAAGAAAAATAAATTTGGACAGAACCCATGAATCGCGATGACATTATAGAAATACTATAGCAAGTGTTGGATTTAGCAGTTCTCAATTGTCTAAAAATTAAATGTTTATATCGCAAAATTTTACTGGGACTGTTGCTTCACTTGTAGCCAAAATTATTTAACTAGTTGTTACTCTTAAGATCAACGTTTCCTTTTATTTAAAAAACTACCTAGAGCAAAATAAATTTTCTCATCTCGATCTTCTATAACTTCTGTCGCCACGAAACAGTTCAGAAATACTAAAACAACAAATATAGCGTTGCTCCAGTCGTATATGCATCTCTTAACCCTTTGATCATGAGGCTACTCACTCGTTACCAAGGCTTATATATAAAAATCAACACATTTTTGCATTCACGAGGTATTATCACTAAATTTAAACAAAATTAAATAGTATACGTTTGCAAAAATTATTTGGGATTAAATTTATTTCTCGAAGCTCGTTATTGGAACACTAAGAAACGAAACACAAACTTGCTGAATGAACAAATGTGGAAGACACTTGGTAGCAAGTTGCAAGTCCTCGACCACGTGTACTAACCACTTGGAAATCGTCAGACTTCTTTCCGTGCCCGAAGTCCGTCGCTTTTCGCTCGTTCGCTTCAAAGTCGGTGACATCCGTTTCATTCTCCAGGAAGCTTTCAGCGGATTCCTTCATAGAGTCCGTATTGTTCTCGTTCTCCGATACTTGTTCCTCCTCGTGCAACAGATCCACCACCTCTTTCTCCGCATTAGCCACCTCTTGGCCTCTCTTGACGCCCTCTCGATCCTCGATCAGTTTCTCGTCGGCGGGATCGACGTCGAGCATCGTCCCTTCTTTGCCCCCCGCCTCGATCCTCACTCTTTCATTCTGCTCGATGTAAAGACTCTCTTCGTCCCGTCTCGACGGTTTTCCATCCAGCATCTCCTTGCTCTCTCTGGCCGACGCCTTCGTCCTTCCGTACTCGTGCGCCGTCAACTTCGATCTCGACGTGGTTGAGACGCCCACGCGTTCCTCCGTCCTCTCTTGCTTTTCCTCTTTGCCGGATTGCTTTCCTTTTGCAGCCACGACCGCGGTTGCGTTCACATTTGAATTCCTGCTGTCCCTACCCACGTCCTCGCGGCTGCTGTCCCGCCGGGATACTCGAACGTCGTGCTTCGAGTCCTCCTTACCGGGCACCGAGCTTTTCGCGTCCTCCTTCGCGTCCTTGCGGCTCGACTTCCAAATCGAGCGTATGTCGTCTTTGCTGTCCTGCCGTTTCAGTTTCTCCTCTTTGCTCCGGGGCGATAGCAGCTTCGGGATCAGGCTCGGGACGCTTATGTCCTCGCGACTGCGTCGTAAGTCGTCGGTGCTTCCTCTGTATCTGTAAACGATCGGTATCAGTGGATCAGTCTTCAACCCTCTGTACTCCTATGTCGAATGTGACTCGACATCAGTTTTTATCTCAGGAACAAAGAGATATACACTTGAAAATTACAAAATACAATAATTTTTAATTAACGTAAATTTCAAATAAAACACTTAAAAGCATTGGGAGCAGCTAGTAAGAAGATTGAAATATAATTCGATATGCAAAGGGTTAACAAAACCAATACTCTAATAAGTAAGATAAGTCTCTGGTGAAACGACTAGTTTGTTAGCACAGAAATCTGAGGTTTTCAACAACGCCATTGGGCGAACAACAAGTATACAAATTCCAACGTTTGGTAGCCTTAGCAAATTCAGGGCAGAATTCTCGAATTTTTACGACCAGAAAAGCTGTATGTTATCATTCATTTTGATTGATAAAAATGAATTTCGTGCAATATAAAAATATGAATTGAGGAGGTCCTGTGGGAAACATTGTAAGTGCCAAAATTGAGAAATTTTGTACCCTAAATTATTCTTAAAATATTCTATATATTCTCGTTTAAGTACCATATTTTTTTATAAATAGTTTTGATAGTCATTTTTGGAGAAAACAATATATGCAAGTGTCATATGTGACAGATATAAGGTTCTACTATTTTAAATTGGAGCACGTTGCTAGTTTCTCAGTTCCAGTTCCTATACTATAAGAATCTAGTGTTTTGAGCTATTTTGTTTCAGCTACACGATTACTATTAACGATTTTTATCGTTGTTTAAGGATTATTAGTGGATCCTGGATCAAACGCCACAATTTTATGCTCTTACGATTAAAAGAGATGTGCATAATACTCGTTCACTTTTAGTGGAACTGTAACCAAGTACAATAAATCTCGATTTTAAGTGACAATTTTTGTATTGGGTTCGAACAATAGAATCTCCCCCACACTGTTTACGTTTATTCAACGTGAGATGGATCGAATTTTAATGAAAATTAATTTCTCATTGGTAAGATTCAAACACGACAGTAATATTCCTGACTATTTTTACATATGTATATGTAATTTGAAAGTTTCACAGAAATAATTCAAGTAATGTATAATTAAAAATAATCAGAATGTTACTGTCGTATTTGGATTCATTTTTATGGAAGAACCTCATTAGTTTATTATTTATATTCTTCTAAAGATATGATGACAAATATAAAAACTATTAGTTTGCATTAATTAATTCATTTTTATGGGAAAACCCCTCCAATTTATTATTTATATTCTTCCAAACATATGATGAGAAATATAAAAATTATTAGTTTGCATTGATAATTCATTTTTATGGGAGAACCTCATCAATTTATTATTTATATTCTTCTAAAGACACGATGACAAATATAAAAATTATTAGTTTGCCATTAATGGTTGACAATGCTCCAAATGTGAAATTTTTTAGAAATCCAGTATAAAATTTGTTTAATGTTTAAATTATTTTTATTTAAACCCATCTCATTATCAAATACAGCTTACGTAAATTTTCTTTTTACCGTTCAGTTATTGTTAGTATTTTTTTATTTAAAATGATATTCGAGTGGGTTTATAAATACACTTAAAAATGAACAGCATCGTAAATTCCATTTCGAGAAATGCTACGTAAGCGAGAGCCAGAGTTGCGCAAAATGCATTTTTTCGTACCCCACTTAAATATTTATTTTAGGCCTTAAACTGAAAAATCATTCAAATTTCTATTCATTCGTGAGAATTACGATGCCTCTCTTTTAAACGGATTCAGACCTGAACTTTGAACGTTATTTTCGATTAGGTTTTGCCATCTTGTTTTTAAGTAAAGAATCAATTTTGAATATATCACGAAATATCAATGTTTTATAAATATACATTATACGTTACAAAATTACTGACTTAAATATCATCTACATAAATATAAAAACGAATTTTGTATCAAAGTTAAATAGCAAGAGATTAATAATACTGAATAATGCAGATGTAAATAGATAAGTAGAATGTACGAAAAAACATTTCAAGCCAAATTGTTCGCTTCAAGTAAATCACACTAACAAGTGAGCACAGTTTCTGCGTGAATTTTATATGCATAAATAACTGTAATTTACTTTTAATTAATACTAAAACATTGACTGGTAAGTTAGATGTACCTTTGAGGAATGAGAGAACGTTTTGGAGACTCTTGAGGGCTTCTAATGTCCTCGAATTCTTTGGAACTTCTTCTAAATATAGGGATATTTGATTTCCTCTCTCCATGCTTGGCTTGGCCTAACTTAATTTCGGACGACAGAAACTTGGACAGTATCCTCGGCGGTTTTATCAAAGAAATCCTCGGTGTAGCTTGCTCTTGGGTAGCGGTCTGCTCTTCCTGCTCTTCGTTTCTCGTTTTATTGCCGATCGTTACAGTAGGTCGGTCGCCTTTCTTTGATTTTATGGCATCCGACGATGGCACTTCCTCTTCGTATTTACCGTGTAATCTTTCGGGACGTTTCGAGTTCGTTCGTTCGCCGATATCGGCCCGTGGCGCGGATCTTTCAGGAAAAATCGCCTCGTTTCTCGTTACCGCGTCCCTCCGTGGATCATCTTTCCTGGAACCATAACAGTCCTCGACATGCTCGTTCGCCACCCGGCTGACTGGTCCTTTATCATCGGTGCTCGGTGCTTCCCCGACGACGGGTTTTACGATTTCGTTCTTCTCGGCGGTTTCTCGGTATTCCTGACGACGGGACGGTAAGCTTCGATATATGCGCAGCTCCGGTGATTTTCTCGTCGCGGTCCAACGCGTGGGTGGACCTGCATATGGAAACATAGCCGATAATTTATTTACCTAAGCGTTATAAATATAAAATTTTGTTCCAAGCCTCAGTACGATCAAAATATTAGAATATTTGTTTCTTTGTTGGGAAATCACTTGAAAGCGGCTGGAAATATTTCTTTTTAATAATAAATATTTATATATATAATAATGTTTATCGTATTTATTTTAATTGGTTCGATTTTAAGTTGTTTTAATTAATTTAAAAATGATTTGAGTCCAAATTGATAAATAAATTATATTTATTATACTGTGATATATACATATATTAGAAATAGTGTAGTATAAATTAAAAATAACAATGCAGGTAACGTTTGTATAATTTTGTTGGACGAAAGTGTAGAAACAGAGGAATTCATTAAACAATATTAGTGGCACATTTAAAATGTTAAAAGAAGAGTATAATGTTATAATTTGTAAACTATGGTGATCAATGTATTAGTAGAAAAAAATGTTTGAACTATTCGTGCTTATATGTTTTGGAGAACACTGACTTGAAGCATGAAGAATGTTTAGATATGTATGGTACAGTATTTCCTACTAACATATGGTATAAATTGTACCTACCATTCTACTAATTATTTTGTAAAAACTATTTCATTGCGCTCCATTGGACTGTAGGCTTGCATTGAAACAAAAGATAGTTACTTTTATTAAAGAAAAAACCTGAATATCAAATTACATTTAAAACACTTTAAATCTATTACATCATATTCTGAGCAATTGTTTGAAAATTAATATCTAGAATATTAATGCTGTATAATATAGTATTTTACATTGCGTAATAAACAATTCTGTAATTAGTACAGATGTATACATATAATGATGTACTGCAAAATATTATAAATGGAGAGAGCAATTCAGTGGGGGAAATGATGTATAATGATATTCAGTTTGCATAAAATTTAATAATATATCAAGTAATTGAATTTAATAATAATATGAGGTATTGAATAGCAGGAAAAAAACAGAAATGTATGAAATTAGTATGGACAATGTTACAAAAACGTGTTATTCGAGAAACAATATAATAAATTAGTAATAAAACAATATAATAACAATGTGATAAGCATGCAATAGAACTGATATACAATAAGAAGAAGGGAAGAGAAATATAAACAATAATTGCGATAAAAAAGAAAGTAAACAAAATATGTATAGCAAACGTACCGTTGATAGTCCAAGCTCTTCGAATGCTATGTTTTAATATTTCCACAGGCGACGCCGATGGTTTTCCGCTTATAGATCCTTCGGACACCGAATTTCCGTACGGCCATTTGCCCGTAGCAACATGCAATTCCCTGAAATAATAAAAATTCAAAATGATAATAGTAATCGTCATATCACATAGTACAATCTTAATATATTGTCTGTCAAAAAGATCCACTATTCTAAACGTTAAAAAAAAAATTGATTCTTATCCCATTACGTTATCTTGAGATGTTAAAAAACACGTTTCAAACGAATTAGAATGAAAAAAAAGGAATCAACATTTTGTACAATGGCTATGTAATAAATGTTCATTGTACAAATTATATATTTAGTATATAAACATCTGTAATTCTAAAAATTTCTAGCATAAAAATATACGACGATTGAAAAGAATAACTTCACAAGTTAAGAATTTATTGTCATTCTTGTTTACGTGGTGGTCCATAAAATGTTAGAGCAACTGTAAGAGCGTATTTATTCTTACTCATTTGTACTCTGTTTATTTTTCAAATAAGTCAAGTGTTCTCACAAGGAACCATCGCGAACGGTCCGGCTTCGATTTTGATGAAACTTTGTACACTTATAAAGCAGCCAAAAATAATCGACACGTATTTTTTTTCAGCTGCGGTAACTCGAGTTTAAGGGGTGAAACCACCCCTTGAAGTTTTGGCTCGAAACAGCTATCTCGAGAACGGAAAGACATACAAAAAAATTGTTAATGGGTGAGGTTGACGGTTTCTTATGTACAATAACATGGTGTTAAAAAATTTAAAAAAATACAATTTGTTTATAACAAAAAAAAATTGATTAACCTAATTTTTCATTTTATTGAAATTTTCATAATGACAAAAAATGACGAGCATTTTATTCCAAATCCATTGGTATGCGATTTTTTAAAATTGCCTCCTACAGTTTTGCAGATTTTGATGATTTACATCTTGCGCGCACATCCATTATGGCAGTAGCCGTTCTAACTTTGATTTTAATGAAGCACTGTAGGCTTGCACTACTTCTAGATGACAAAATCGGGAAAAGTACAAGAATACCAATTTGTTGATGGAGGCTTCGTTAAGAAATTATTAAAAAATTAAATTAAAAAATTTCAAATCCTCCAGGAAAAAATTATTTTCGGTTGCGGGGGCTAATTACAATCATTTTTGGTCAATACATATACCCACGAAATCCTACGCACTTTCGAGAAAAAAATTCCTAATCGAATATGTAATTTATGGCCAGAAATGTTGTCCGAAAATTTCATGCGGATCTTTAAAATGTCATAACTTCTGAACGCATTGAAGGATTTTAATTTTCAAAAATGCAAACGACGCGTATTTTAATCAAGAATACGTAGAAATCGCAAAAATATGCAAAAAGTTGATCCTTGACCCTGCAAAATGAGAAAAACCCCATAAAAATGGTCCAATCTTCAAACAGCCATAATTCCTACAATAGTGAATATATTTCAATGAAACTTTTTTCTGAAGTAGAGCTCATAGGTACCTACAAAAAAGTATTGGCCAACTTTTTTGTAGGGCGTCAAACAAAATTATTAAAAATGAAAAACGAATTTTTAAGAAAAATCGACAGGGCGTAGGTGCCTAAATTTTTCAGCGAAAAAAAAAAATTTCAAATCGTTCTAAAAAAATTATTTTCAGTTGCGGGAGTCAATTTCAATCATTTTTGTTCAATATATATACCCCTGAAATCCTACGCACTTTTGAGAAAGAAATTCGAGAATGTGTGAAATTTTTCAACAAAATTAAAAAATTTCAAACCATTCTGAAAAAATTATTTTCGGTTGCAGGGGTCGATTACAATCATTTTTGGTCATTACACATTCCCCCGAAATCTTGGGCATTTCGGAGAAAAAAATTCAGTACGGGCGAAACTTTAAACGTTAATAATTTCTTAACGAAGCCTCCATCAACAAATTGGTATTCTTGTACTTTTCCCGATTTTGTCATCTAGAAGTAGTGCAAGCCTACAGTGCTTCATTAAAATCAAAGTTAGAACGGCTACTGCCATAATGGATGTGCGCGCAAGATGTAAATCATCAAAATCTGCAAAACTGTAGGAGGCAATTTTAAAAAATCGCATACCAATGGATTTGGAATAAAATGCTCGTCATTTTTTGTCATTATGAAAATTTCAATAAAATGAAAAATTAGGTTAATCAATTTTTTTTTGTTATAAACAAATTGTATTTTTTTAAATTTTTTAACACCATGTTATTGTACATAAGAAACCGTCAACCTCACCCATTAACAATTTTTTTGTATGTCTTTCCGTTCTCGAGATAGCTGTTTCGAGCCAAAACTTCAAGGGGTGGTTTCACCCCTTAAACTCGAGTTACCGCAGCTGAAAAAAAATACGTGTCGATTATTTTTGGCTGCTTTATAAGTGTACAAAGTTTCATCAAAATCGAAGCCGGACCGTTCGCGATGGTTCCTTGTCAGTTGACAAAATCATACACAAACTGCACAGCTTTAATTGTAAATAACCGAGAAAAATTAATTACACTTGCCAATTATAAATTAGAATTATCGTAAACAAAATCGAATAGGGCACATATACATATATCATCACATTTCCAGACGTTTATAATTAAAATTTTTTGGACACTCCTCAATTTAATATTTTACTTTTTATTATCATCTTTGCTTCTGCCGTATTTTTCAAACTTTTATAATTTCAATTCATTGGTTACATTATACATGCATTTGCTTTAAAAGCGATGCAAACTGTAAGAGTCGAACCGTGAATAATAAAAATAATTTAAGACAAAAATTAATAAATTATTGTAAATTCCTTACTATTCGATACTTTTTTTCACACGACAATTAGAATGTATTCTTAAAATTTGTCTGCTCATTTTAGGAACCCAGTGCACGTATACAATTTATGAGACCAAAGACAGGAATGTAGCAGCGATCGACCAGTGAAAACGAAAGAGTAACGATGGTAAATCACTCACGCGATTTTGTAGCAAACGTTACAGATCCATTCGACGTCTTTGTTATCGGTAAGGCTCCTGACCTCGATACGGCATTGTCTGCACACTCTGTGCCTGCAGCGTGTACACGGAGCGCCGGTGTTGTAAAATCTACCAAACGGTGCGCCGCATCTGGTACATTTACGTCCTTGGTACGATAGTTCACCCGACGCCTTCAGAAGTCCCCTCTTTCGAAGGTACTGCAGATCAGCCTTCAGTCTTCTGCAAAACGAACAATTTTTCCACTATCTTCTTGCACCTCGACCTACCTGCTCTAACGAAAATTCTCGCGCACCGATCCAAAGAAAACCAAACACACGAATCATTTGCTTTCTCTGTAAACGACATTCAGACAAATCACGTTCGTTGGAATCTCTTTAACGCGTCGACTGTCACTGTTATAGTTTTCCAACAACGTCCTCGAAGTCTGTTCAAATTTAGGCATCGGATGGGGAAAAGGGCGCATACGTTAAAACTCCATTTCCGAGAATATCGATTTCAGAGTCCTCGTTAAGGCTTCATTTAATAAAATGTGTGTATATTTTTTTAATTTAGCTCGTTTACTGTTGGGGATAAAAAAAAAATAACAAAATTTGTAAAACTTATTAAATTTTTCTAATCGGGAGTTAAAAAGCGATACAATATGATATAAATTTTGTTAAAATTCTACCAACCCGGGATAAACTAACTCGTTTTTTTCATAATTTTTGTTACATTTTTAAGGTGTATAACAGTTATTCATCGGTTGGAATAAATATGTCTTTCATAATATGTCTTTCACCTCTGGGAAAAATTTGAATGGGAGATTCTGGAGACCAAAATAAGACGAAAATCAAGAACACTAATTTGTTGATGGAAGCTTCGTTAAAAAGTTATTAAAAAATATCAAATCATTCACGGAAAAATATTCTCGATTACGGGAGTCCATTACGATCATTTTTCGTGAATAGACATACCCCCGAAATCCTACATACTTTTGAGAAAAAAATCGAGTGATCAAATTTTTGGACAAAATTAACAAATTTCAAATCGATCTAAAAAAATTATTTTTGGGTGTAGAGGCCAATTATAATCATTTTTGGTCGATACACATAACCCCGAAATCCAAACCATTTTTGAGAAAAAAATTCGAGTATCTATTGAAATTTTTAGAAGAATTTGAAAAATTTCAAATCATACTAAAAAAATTATATTTAATTACAGGGGTCAATTACAATCATTTTTGGTGAATACACATACGCGCGAAATCCTACGCACTTTCGAGAAAAAAATTCTTTACTGAAAATATACTGTGTGGCCGGAAATGTTTCTATAACTTTTTAACGAAGCCTCAATAAAGAAATCAGTATTCTTGATTTTCGTTTTATTTTAGCCTCTAGAATCTCCCATTAAAATTTTTCCCATGGGTGGCCGAACACGCTGTATTTTTTAAAAATGTCAAATAACAAAAGAACGATAAACAATCCATTATTTGTCACTTGTCAAATAAAAATAAAAATTTCAATTATAATGTGAAATACTTCTCAATGAACAAGTTTATATCTATGATCGAAGAAACGCCACAAACAAATTGCTATATAAATGCCTTTTTGGTCGTTTATAACTAGAATTTATAAAATTTCGTTGGTGTCTGATTTGAATTTTTTATTCAATCGATAACATAAAAATTGAAGTTGAACTTAAGAATTTAAAAATGCAGTAGAAAGTTTTAAAACTGCAATGGCAGAAGTATTATCGATTTATTTAAACAAATTTCGCAGCGAGATCCAACTTTTTTTGTTGTACTTTCTTTTAGAAAAGAACTCTCAATTTCTAAAATGTACAAGTCCATAACAAATTACTATAAATTATATTATTATGATATACAGTTACTGCATAGTTAACGTAACACACATAAATCGATATCGACGTTTCCAATTCATTTCGTTAGTACGATTATTAACTGTTTGATAAAATTAACGTGACTTTTATCTCGTATAAATTGTATAATCTGTTATCATTATCATCGACACGACAATGCAATAATATTCCAAGCAAATAATGGACAACGATTCAAGCGTGAAATCAGCACAGTGATCCTAGTGACACAATTCTAGTGATTATACTTTCGATTAGAATTATATGTATATAAAATAAATTATTTCTCGTATAGAAAAGTAGAAGACTCACATTATAAAGCAGAGAGAACAATAATATCCAAAATGTTCTACTGTCGTTCCAAGTGGCAATTGTTAACAAACGTGACATTTAAGAATATAACAAATCGATATGTTACCGTGTAGTTATTAAAATATGTAATTAGTAACTAACACAATCACTGAGACACCACCACTGTCGCGTTCGATCAACAAATTTAAATTCCAAAATAGTCATAAATCCGACACTGGATCTGCTTGCACGAAACTGTACGCAGAACGAAAAAGTTTCTTCGCTCGTTGCTTGAATTTTCGCGCCCGATGGTCCCCCGAGTGTCCTCCAGGATAAAAAATGGTGGACAAGAACGCCGAGGGATGATGTTTAGCGAACAAAACGACGATCCTCCTGACTTTTCGGCCACGATGGCAATGACTCACGAAGCCAGCGTGCAAGGCAGGCGTACCTAGACCCTTTTGTTATAAAAAGAATCGACGCACCACGCAAGAAAGATTGCTACATCTTTCTAGTCGGTGCCAGCGTTGGGTTAGCGTGGTCTCGTAGGTGTTACGCCGGTTATATATTATATCTAGTTTCCATTCCCGTCGCACGATGATAAGGCATATTAACGCAACATACCGAACGGCGCAACGGACACTATCGAATAACAATGAACGATATTTCCTTTGCCTTTTAGATACCCCGATCGAATACTCGAATACCTTTCTCCTTTCACCCTCTTTCCTTCCTTTTACCTATTAGCGTTGCATTTTCCACGCACGCGAGCGGGAAGAAACGATCATGCGCCTAAACGTTTTCACGTCCAAAAATGGCAATTTCTATCCCCGGCTCTGCGGTCGCCTCTTTGCGTTTGGCTTTGCGCTCGAGATGTAATTTTTAATCCAAGTTACAGCACCGGTTAAAAATAGCTGACGATTTGCATATTTTTATATTTTTTATATTCGAACGAAAAATATGTACATTTTGTGCAGGGTTGATCTGTGCAAAGTAGGCGTTGCTAAAAATAATTTTGTATAAAAAAGTTGCATGGTTTGAAGGGGTATACTGTGTGTATGTAGTGCATTTGTCTTTTTTATAGGCGAATATCAAATTCTGAGTAGAAAAGTGTCGATCTGTATTAGCCCTAAACCTGATAACTAGTGAGTAATTTCACTTTATTTCTATCAGTGTAAATATTTAAAAGAAACTATGTGATGAAAAATTGAACGAACATGTTTGCCTCAGCTATTAAATAAGTTTTGAATATTAACACGTATCGTAGCCACTGTAAGCTAATTATGATTTTAGAACACTTTCGATCTGAATTTAGGTGTAGAAAAATATAAATAGAAGAAATTTAAAACCGTATAAAAAAAATAATTGATACATCAATGAGTATATCCTCTTTAAATGACAAATAATAAATGTGATAAATAGCAATAGATAGTTCTAAAAATATCTATGATCGTCAAACTTAATATTACATTGTTATTCGTTTATATTTTTATAAATTAAACGTACTCGAATATTCGGTTCGAGAACATTATGAAATTAAAATAACTCGCGAAGGTGACGATGCATTAATTAATTTAAACGTATGGTATTAAACATAAGCGTTCAAAATTTCGAGTAGCTTTGATGTTTAATAGTTAAAAAGTCATAATATTGAAATATCGTATAAAAAGTCTAGCTGAAGGAATAATGAATATAAAGCAAAAGTAGCTTCCTTTCAAGTCCTTTCATTGCTTTTTTTATTTATATGTACCGTTAGCCTACAAACCTTTAACCTCCATCCATGGAGAACATAGTTCGCGAAGCATTTATTCTCACATCGTGGAATACGGAAAGCGAATACCTCGAATATTAATCTATCACTATATAATTCCAACGTTTTCTTCGAACGAAAGAATAGTTATCGTACTGATATACCGTTACTATAATATGAATTTCATTCATTTCGGTGAATATTCTACTTAAAAGATCGAAATAAGTAATACAGGGTGTCCGGCCACACTTGGGAAAAATTTTAATAGAGGATTCTAGAGGCCAAAATAAGACGAAAATCAAGAATACCAATTTGTTGATGGAGGCTTCGTTAAAAAGTTATTAACAATTAAATTCGAAAATTTCAAATCGTTCTGGAAAAATTATTTTCGGTTGCGGGGGTCAATTACAATAATTTTTGGTCATTACACATACCTCCGAATTCTTATCCATTTTCGAGAAAAAAAATTCGAGAAGGTACGAAATTTTTTGACGAAAAAAAAAATTTCAAATCGTTTTGAAAAAATTATTTTCGGTTGCGGGGGTCAATTACAATCATTTTTGGTCATTACACATATCCTCGAAATCCTACGCACTTTCGAGACAAAAATTCCTTACCGAAAATCTAATTAAATTCCTTTTTTCGACGAAAAAAAAAAATTTTCAAATCGTTCTGGAAAAATTATTTTCGGTTGCGGGGGTCAATTACAATCATTTTTGGTGAATAGACATACCCCCGAAATCTTGCGCATTTTGGAGAAAAAAATTCAGAACAGGCGAAACTTTAAACGTTAATAACTTTTTCACGAAGCCTCCATCAACAAATTGGTATTCTTGATTTTCGTCTTATTTTGGCCTCTAGAATCTCCCATTAAAATTTTTCCCAGGGTTCGCCGAACACCCTGTATAAATGCCTCCATTAATAATCGACCCTTAAGCTATTTTTCACTAAACACGAGATATAAATAACTATAATCTGTAAGACAGTTGGCATTTTATGTTTTCCATTATCCATTGTTCAGTTTATTATGAAATTCATTTATACTTTTATCGAATAACACCTATACATCTTTCAAATCGTTGTACGTTCAATATTGAAAGGAGGGTGTTAAGAAATGCCCATTTTTGGCATCGCCTGGAAATGAAAAATTCATGCAGGATCTTTTAGAGTGTTTCTCAAGGAACAAAAAACGTCTTTATCACTTTCCCGAGAAACGATGGGAAAGTTGTCAAAAATACGTTCAAAGTATGAATGTGATGATAATGGAACTAACGTATATTTTACATTTCGTCGTCTTCTTCTTCGGATATCGAACTGCCCTCGA